AACGGTTTAAAACGAAATATATATATTAGTTAACCCATATGCGGTCACTGGGGAAAACGGCCGCTGCAAAACGTACAAAGATTAGACAAAAAAAATAAAACACAGTTCTATTCGATTACATGTAACATAATGCCAAAGTTTAAAATATGATTTCATTTCTTATCGTATGGAAGGAGTGATACATTGAACTAAAACGTTTTTAACGGTTTTACATGTGAGATGTGCGTGCCTCCGTGACCATAGCCGCTGCAAAGCATCTGTAACGTCTGGCCGTAGTGAAATTATATAAAAATATGTTAACTAATATATTTCACGCTTTAAACCGTTAAAGCTGTTTAAACTTGTACTAGTCGCGTAAACTACATGCAGAGACGTATGTGATACAAAAAAAAAAACAAATACAATATGTATACAATATTATATATTAACTTTCAGATTATATATTAAATAACTTCTCTAAAATGTACTTACTAACTCAACACAATTTTGGATCGATAAATAATAATAAATTGGTTTTAGCAAAGGGATGATCTCCCCACAAGCTACCACTGAATCCTGCGCAAACACAAATATTATAAATTATTTATACGCTCCAAACGTCCCCAATAGAATTTATTTATTGTATTAATTGCTTTGTTCACAATAAAATGAAATCCTGGAATTTAAGATAACTAAGCTATGCGGATGTCTTCTGTAGCTAAATGGTTAAACGTGTTGCCTAACATTTCGTTAATCGGGGGAGATCCTGGGTTCGACCCCAGTAAAAAATTGTTCAGTCGGTCAGTAAAACGGATACAGAAGTGTTTTCACCCCATGCCCCACGTGGGGAAACGGATACTCATTATTAGTCAAACGATGTTTTCTGTTCATTTCCGTCCTTTACCCGGCAAGACCAAAGACTTTTCGAGTTTAACGCATTGGTTGGCAACATAATGAATTAATGAGCTGCGAAGGCCGTAACGCTATTAATAAATAGACATACAATTTTTAAAGTGAAGGATTTTTTAAAACAAGTTTTTTTTTAATATTATAACAATTTTAACGGTTTAAAATGCGTCACGTTGTCCCTAATGTTCATTCTCCATTTTCAACCCCCCTCGCCCCGTGACTGCTTAAAGTTAAAGTCAATTGTGAATAATTTAACTAATGCATTTCGCGTTTTAATAAAAGTATTGTCTTACCAACTACCACTAAACAATAGTCAGAGCTCAAAAAAATAAAACTTGTTTGAAAATTATTTTTAACTATGTACGCAGCTATTAAATAAAATGAATTATAAATTATGTAAATTAACAACGTACAATTCATTCATTTTCAAAGTGCCCTACATACATCTCAATCCATTAAAAAAAACTAATAAACCTAAGCCAATGTTTGCCTTGTGTAAATACTAGTAGCTGCCCTCGGGTTCGGCAATTAGCTTGAGGCGACAAACGGACAAGCTAAATCAAATATTTAAGCTTGTTTGGGTAAAGTTTGTTTGAATGTTTAATTGAAATTAGGGCTTTTAAATTTTTTTATGATAAACGACAGACAAGGGTTCTCTTGGTGGTAAGTGAAACACCGTACCTAACATCTAAACAAAGATGCGCTATCAATTTATATTAGCTTTGGTCACTTGTCTAGATATATATACATACATAAGTATTTCTTATACACTGCATAGTTCTTAGTTGTGTTTAAACTTGACTTTTAACAGTTCAAAATGGAAAGAGGTATTCAACTAGGCGCATTTATGTGTGTTTTATACCTACATTAAAAAAAGATGTTTTTTTGTTAACGGTAGTAACGCCCGACATTTCGGAGTCTCCCCTAGACCACGGCTGCTGCAAAGCATCCGAAAAGTCATGCCGAAGTTAAAAATAAGTTTTAGTAATAAATATCGAGTTTTAAAGTATTTTATTTAAATGTGTACTACTCGCGTAAACTACAGACAGTTTTCAATAACTGTTACATATTCGAGCTTTGTGTAAGTACAAAGTTGGAAGAAATCGAACTTGTCTTGCCACTTGGTAATAAAGGGAAGAATAAGACAGCAGTTTTAATTTGTACATTGTCTATAAACAAATTTATGATTGATATATTGTCTGTAGTTTATGAGCATAGATATTGAAATAAAAACCGTTTAACTACGGCTGCTGCAAGGCATCCCAAGTATCGGGTGGTAGTAAAAAAGCTTATATAATTTTGCATTTTAAACCTTTAAAAGTGTTTTACTTAAACAGCGGTTTGTCAGACACTCAGCATTCTTTTCGCTGATTAAAACAGGAGAAATATAGACACTTGGTGATAAAGCTGTGTCTACTAGTGGCGTAATCCGCAAATTCAAATAACCAAGTCATGAATAAGGGGAACAAATGGCCTCACCCAAATGTGCTGGATTAGTGGAATTCCACAATCGTGGGGAGTTAAGTATGACATTTAATATTCCGCTAATTTTGGGGTTTGCGGCAGCCGCGGCGAATCGTTAGATTGGCCACCGTTTCGTGTTTACTTACGGAGAATTAATCTGTAGCTTAGGAATCTGGAATACAATTCATCATGCTATGGTTGGCGGAAAGGTGGTGATAAAACATCGCAAACAGCTTATACACAATAATTTTTTTACGCGAAACTCTGCAAAATTTTTGCACGTGAGAATTAGGAATTAAAGTAACTAATAACTAAACAAAATATTCATACACGAGGCTTCAAATTAAAACAATGTCAACTTTTTAAACAGGACCTACTGAGCACAACTCTTAACGACGTAGTATTTTGTTTTGTATACTTTGCTTTGTATAGAAAAGAGAGTAGAAGACGTTTATTCCGAAAAAACAGAAGACATTTAACAAACACAAATATAAATATAATTACAAATAAAATATGAATTTACTAATTACATAATTATAAACTAATAAAGAAATAAAATAGTAGCTACGTTGGGACTAATTTCCTAACACTGATATTCTGTGGCCCCTTCAGAGGCCGAGTTAACCGAGATAGTTTCACGTTCTGTCAAGAAGTTTCGTAATATATTTTTAAATCATTCATTGTGTTTTAAATGTCTTCTAGAATTGAGTAACATTTTTTTTTAGTAGTCCTTGAATTTGAATATGACGGAAAAGTAAGGGCTGCGTTTTTTTAACCACTAAAGTCTTTGAAATGAATGACATATTTACCTAAATAATAAACCATACACAGAGTGTAACTAGGTAATTTTTCCATTAAGAAGACGAATGCCTACAATGTTTCTATTCTTCTATTATTTATCCATGAATTTTTTAATGTGTGAGTTTCTATTCAGTTCAGTTAGCTTTATTTCTATTCAAAATAATAACGATTTAACTTTGCTATTTTTAACATAGCATGGGCGTTAGTAAACATGTTTGCATGTTTGACTTCCGGCTTCATAGTAGCCATTTGTAAAAACGTTTCTAGAATCAATTTCCCGTATCGAATGGAAATAACAACAAAAACAGATTACGCATGACCAAGTCTCAGATTTAATTATACGCTTAGTCACATTGGACTATAGGGCAGGTGTAACAAACAAACACAAAAAATAATCTCAATTCTAACGTTCAGACGGCTTTAATTGTCAACAACAAGTTGAACTTTGTTAATTATTGTAACTTCCTTTGTCTGTCTGATTCATTTCAATAGTATCACTATTAAATAAACAAGTATTGTCTGTAATTTACGTAGTAGTACACATTAATATAAAACACTTTTAACGGTTTAAATCGCGTTTAATATTAGAAAGGCGTTGTCACCAGGTGGCGGCTGCTGTAAAGCATTTGAAACTAGTAACTAATATACTTCGCGTTTTATACAGTAAAAAGTATTTTATTAACTTAAGTAAACCACATAAAATATTATATAAAATTTTTACCAGCTTAAAACGCGATATTTATTAGTTCACACATGCAGATCGCTTCTGTAGCCATAGTATAAGTTTAACTAATATATATCGCGTCTTAAATCGTTAAAGTGTTTTATTTAAATATAACGTTACCAGAATAAGAGGGATACGACAAACGTAAGAATAATAAATATATTATTTATTTTCTGCATCCTAACGGCGTTATAGCGTCGTTATATTATTCCTGACTATTACCGAATGAAAGGAAACGCGTTCGAAGCCAGGAGCAAATACAATTCCAACAAAATAGGCCATAACGAATTTCCAAAGCAAACATTAACGTAACTAGAGTCAACGGGTGCCCCTATTGTGTCCACAATACACTATTACCAACCTTATTCCTCCGTAATAAGGGTGGTTCTTTTGTACTATGCGTCTGCGCAGGGGTGCATTCACAACTTTTCGCTCTTTAACAACCATTGTTCCATTTTGATTTATATTCATGGCTCTTGTATTGTAGAGCAAATCAAGTGTAAGTTCGTTTAGTTATTATTATTATAAACTCTGCTGATCAATTATGACGTTAAGCAGATGTCCTGGGTTCGAATCACGGATGAGAAAAAGATATAATCAAGAGGTAATGCTCTGAGAGCAATAGAGGATCGAGGATCCCCTGAGCTAGTTTAGGACTTACGTGAACAATTAATTAAACACATAAAGAATTATAAATCATTCTTAAGTACAGTACAGTACAGTACTTTTGCGTATATGAATATAATACCTACTTTTTACTTATTTCTATTGTTGTCAAAACTAAATTATAAGAATTTGATCCCTCCTGGCGCCAAAGAAAGAATGCTGTTACCTTCTTGCTTCTTAAGAAGGACTATTAGTAAAACGAAAATGTCTCGTCAGCCCATGACTTGGACATCGTAAATTTGTATGGTCTGTGTTTAAAAATGAGACTCGGTAATACAAAAATAATTATTCTTTTATTCCTTCATATTATGACTAGATATTTATAAACTATTTTACAGTCTTTATTGTCAATAAAATATAATCTACATACAATCTTTGGTAAAAATACAATATATAAAATACACGATTCAAAATGACTAGAAAAATATTTTCACGTAAATACAATATTTTGCTAAAATCATATTTTCGCGTTTACAACACTTTGGTTTCTATAATAATGCCTGTATCGTTGTTCTTCGTAGTGAAGATTTTGAGGAAAGCTAGTCTCATGAGCGTAGTCGAACCTTTGGTTATAACCATACATTTGGTTATTATAATTTCCGTAATTACTATTGTATGGATCATTTTCATATTTACTTTTTGCCGCCACGTCAAAAGCATTTTTGAACATGGCGTAATTCTTCTCATTGAAGTATTCCTTCGTACTATCCACGTCGAGATTGTTATTGTAACAGTTGTAGAATTCTTGTGGTCGCGGATTGTAGCAGTTCTGGGTTAGTATATCATCTCCGTAACTCGACGGATTCGTGAAGAAGCCACTTCCAGTAGTAGATGTTATACAATTCCCACCTTTGTTATTAACGGATACAGTCACATTACCAACGTTTATCAGAACTCCTTCTGATGTTTGAAAGAAGTTAGATCCGTTGGGGAACGGTTTGCTAAAACCTTGGAAGTTTCTGTAACTACCGTCACCTTTATCTTCAGTCTTATCTGGTAGTAAGAATATCTCACGGAACGCGTCCTTATTTGGTTTCGATTCAGTTAATTCACAGCTTAAATTATAATTGTTTGTCTGTCCCGAATTTATATTGTCTAATGCTTCTAGAGTTTGGCTTAAAGCAAATATGTAGTTGTGAGCGAAACGAAGAGTCTCAATTTTGGTTAATTTCGTATCTTCAGGAAACGTTGGTAGGACACACCTAAGCCTATCTAAAGCTTCATTTAACATATGCATTCGATTTCTCTCTCTGTCATTCGCTTTGATTCTTCTATTTCTTTTAATCTTCATGATCTGAGTAGGACTTTTCGATCTCGTCACTCTATTCTTCCCATTAGCATATTTTCTCTTTGGTTTATTGGGATCCTTTAATTTCTTATCTTTTCCTTTAATAGGTGTAGATGTAATTGGTTGAAAATCTTCAAATGTTTTGATGTCTCCAACAGAATTCGGAAATGGGTATGCGAAGTCATCTGTGAAAAGTTTTCGTCTTACTGGATTATCTTTCGTCGGTGTGAGAGAAATACCGTGGTCTATTGTATCGGATTTCGGTGTGTTTATAGTTGGCGTGGCTAAGGAGTCTGTGTACGATCTTTCAAACCCGGAGTCATTGCTGCAAATGCTGTCGTTGAAGTCGCAGAACTCTTCGAAGCTAGTGCTAAACATTGTTACCTGAAACAATACAAGCATGCGTCAATTTCGTGAAACGATTAATAGTTTTTGCGCGGACATTGTTGTTTTATTCACAAGATTACAAGTAATTGGTTTACCGACGTAAGTATTTCTTTTGTATGCAAGTATGTCTATAAATAAGATTGAAATGATATAAGTCCGATCTTTATGACGACTTTACCATTATGACGTCTTTTATTTTACTTCGTCCTGTTATGTTTGCATTGTCTTTCATTTTTATAGGATTGTTTACATTACATACGTATGTAGTAATTTTAGTAGTATGTCAATTTGTAAGATAGATTTGACACCTAAACGGCTATAATATAAAATAAGGTCCAATGTGCTTGATCGTCATAGATACGTCAAAATTCAAGCACACGGCTGCATCTAAAGTTTAGCTATAAGTGTCACTAACTTTTTTTTTATTTGTGTCGCGTGACGATCGCGTGACAGAGAGTCAGTTGAACTTTATCGCTTCCGATTTCCTGTGCGTGATTTCCGGTAAAGGTGCTTAAAAGTTAATTGTTCAATACAATTGAAGCCAGGGCTACTTTAAATAAAAGGGAAAAAATTGCGCGAGATTTATTTTAAATACCAATATGAATGTAAACATAAGTTAAATATCAAACTATGGTGGTATAAACCACTATGGTGGTCGATTGTGGTATAAACTTGAAATCTTTATTGGTAAAAAAGAGATTAGAGAGACAAAAAATATATTTTTAAATTAAATATATTTCTCCGAAAACATTGATATCGGTAAAAATATATAAATAATAATAAATAGTACATTTTTGAAATTATTATGAGTTTGGAAAGCCATGACTTTTCTATTCAAATTGGTATTTAAGGCTTAAATATTATTTTTTAATAGCAACATACAAGATGAATTAAAACTTACTTGATTTTAGAAGAAGCTACTATACCATAAACTATATATTTTATTCAATTCGTTGATTTTGTTTTTATTTCAAATAAATTATTTAATATAAAATAATAGTTATACATATTCTTGTGTCATTTCATTTTTGTTTAGAGGCAGTAAGTTCATAAGGAATTCTTTCCTGGTTTCAAACACGGGAACGATACGTATGATCTCTCTCACTCATTCTACATTTTTGAATTAGAGTTAGGATACGATAAGGATTGTTAAATTAAAAACTAATACACTTTACGGATTCATAAGAAAATTTCTTAACTACATCCATTCGTTTCGGGAACCGCACGGGAACATGAAACGTCCAGACGTAGTTAAGATAAATTGTAAATAAGTTAACTAATATAATTCACGTTTGGATCCGTTTGAAGTCTCTCTAAATTTATAACGCATTCTTAACTGATTGAAACATTTAGATTCCAAAAGCCAAATATTTGAGCGCCACAAGTGTTTCCCCTCTGAGTGACCACCTGTTAATATTGCACGCGACCGGCACGCGATCACGTAATATATCAACCATAACACAATTCGAATTAACTTTAACTTACATTACTATTAATAAAATGTATGTCTGCAACGCGGGACGAACGAGCAGAAGTTAAAATTTAAAGTAATTCAGTAATTTGTAGTTACACTAGATTCTACATTGGATACCACGAAGACTAGCGCCTCAGTTAACTCGTTACCTTACGGAGTAACTCCTTCGGTTTAAAGTTCTTATTTCAAAAACAATTGTTTTAAACGCATGAGGTTCTTGGTTTGATGCTGGTGACATATAACTGTACCCTCGACTTCGTCGTATTATTTAAATACTGTCTATAATTTACGCGAGTAGTACACATTTAAATAAAACACTTTAACGGTTTAAAACGCGATATATTAGTTAAACTTATTGTGACGTGACCACGGCTGCTGCAAAGCATTCGTAACGTCAGGCCGAAGTTAAGGATCATTTTCAAATACGTTAACTAATATATCGCGTTTTAAACCATTAAAGTGTTTTATTTAAATCGTATTATTTAGTTTTACAAACAATCTCCTTAACATTATACATTATAGCTGTTACCCACGACATGGTCGCCGTCTCGCCGTTTTTGCGAGCTATCTTAAAAGATAGACATATGAGTCGTGGATTTTTTACATAATTTAAACAAGAATCATTCTTTCATACATATTTTTTTGTATTCTTGATCTGTTTTTACGGCGCATACAAAAGAAACCCTCACAGATGAATAATTTTCGCAGTATGTTATTTTACAACCTTCCCCGATGAAAAGTCTATTCAAAACAGACAGAATTTCAACTCGAACCAGTATTCATGAGATGAGAGTTCGAATCTATACCTTTCCGAGTACAATATTCTAGGCTGTAGTTAGGCTAATAGGTCTTTCCAATCTTAATATTTTTAAATTTATTTACTATGATCTCCATCTTTGTCTAAGCTTTGGAATCTATATACTCAACTTTGCTACGCGTGGCGTAGAATGTACCTAGTAATGATAGACTCGTCGTAAATATAGACTGTAGTTAGTAATAGTTAGAGACACAAACTAGTTACGTGGACATTCCTTGTTTATTTAAATCTTTATAACTACAATTTTCACACGATAATTAGAACGAGAATAGGTATCTACGCTTTGTATGATAGATGAGGACAGATCCACTTGATGGAAGAAATACTCCAAGTATATAACATCTAAACAAGATGCGCTAACAACCAAATTTTGGCTTTGGATATCCGTTATATAATAAAATGAGTTAATTCTAACTTATCGGCTTTAAATACATACAAATAATAGATTATAATATTTAATTATAATTTCTTGTATTTTTTATTATATTTATTGAAAGTGAATAAATGTTATTATCTAGTTTGTGTTTCAGGTTCCTTAAAATGTGTGTCAAACAATTATTCAATTTCTATAAAATACTCGTATGTTCTAACCATACCTACCATATATATTGTTTACTAGCTGCGTCCAGCGACTTCGTCCGCGATCGAATTGTTATTTTGGGTAATCCAAAATCGTTTTTATTAACGCATTCATCTTTATAAACTTAAGCCGATACCTACGACATTCAGCCGCGTCCATTCCCGTCGTTCTTGCAAGTAGACCTATAGCGCCGCGGACTTTTTTTTATCATTTAAATAGGAATCATTCTTTTATACTTATTTTTGGGTATCTTGAATCTTTTGCAGCGTACGGTTCGGAAACCAATAATGATGATAAATTTTCTCTTTTTTTACATTTCTCGCTGTATCTACGCTTGTATTAGTCACATGGCGATGTTTTATAGCCTATGTCCTTCCTCGATTATTGCTCTAACCAATACAAAAAGAATTTCAATTCATACTAGTAGTTAGTTCCTAAGATTAGCGCGTTCAAACCAACAAACGAACTCTTCAGCTTTATATGTTAGTATAGATTTATCTTTATAATCTTATTTCTAATATTTATTTTATTAATTAAACATCTATTTTAAAATAAATATGATACGCTTCGTCTAGACTATACTGCAAAATTACTTTCATCAGTTTTTCAGTTAGAGCAACAGCACGGGTGCTGCCTCAAGTACTACCGTGTCGTTTTTGTTTTAAAGTCAAAATATTGTTAATTTATATTATACATATTATATTATTCAACAGCATGTGGAAAATATTAAAGTATTTCCCGTAGGTTTAAACTATTTGATGTCTAATATTAATAATTATTACTTATAATTTGTATTTATTTTAAAATACTTACTTATAATCACAACCTAGAAGCACTTCACTAAGCACTAATTACACTAAACGACTAACATTTTTATACTATGACTGGTCTGTCGACAGTCCCATGCGCACTGTGGGGCGACGCGAACGCACCCTTATTTTATGGTACAGTCCGTTTTGTGAGACCCAATGGGGTCTGAGTAGGTGGACACGCCCTCGTACTGGGAGTCTTAATGGAGTTTAAAGAGCCTATAGCACAAATGAAACAATTGAAAATCGTAGATGCTATACCGGCTTTTAACCTAAGAACATTTAATAAATCAGCTTTGGGACTTAGGCGTCTTCCCCAAGTAAATAAGTATGCTCTGTAGTTTACGCAAGTACACATTTAAATAAAACACTTTAAACTGTAAAAAACGCGAAATATATTCATTTACTTATTATCAATTTATTATAATTACAGCTCGCTATGACGGCTACTACAGAGCTACAAATAAGCTGAAGCTTCGGGCCGTGGTTAAATTAATTGAAATATATTATTGTAAAGAAGTTAATCGAAATATTTCGCGTTTTTGACGGTTAAAAGTGTTTTATTTCATTTCTCAAGAGTTCCAAGGCCAACTAAGGCTGCTACAAAGCACCTGAAACATCGGGCCTGAGTAAAAATAAATTGTAAAGAGGTTAATTAATATGTTTCGCTTTTATAACCGTTAGTGTTTTATTTTATCGTGATATGATCAGTATATTTTTCATGCACAACGAAGTATTGAACTCCCAATCTCGTGATGGGAAGACGTGCATGTCTATTGAAGCTTAATCTATACTAATATATAAAGCTGAAGAGTTTGTTTGTTTGAGAGCGCTAATCTCAGGAACTACTGGTTCGAATTCAACAATTCTTTTTTTGTTGGTTAGAGCAATTATCGAGAAAGGCTATAGGCTATAAAACAGCGCTGTGACTAATAGGAGCGAATAAATAGTGGAAAATGCGGTTAATATAAACTTTAACTTATCATAAATAATGTCATATTATCATAAATAATGTCTATCTCTTAAGATGAACTCGCAAGAACGAAGGGAACCGAACGACGGGTCGCGAGCGATGACATCGGTATGCAAAACAATTTTGTATGCCCAAAAATATTATCCTACGCGGACGAAGTCGCCGACTCAGCTAATGATATAGGTATATCATTAAAAGGATAGGATCTTAAAGGGTAATTAATAAAATTATTATCCAAATTTCTAGACGAACCCGACATGTTTCAGAAAAAATACAAATCGAAATTACATTCTGGAACCGGTGGCGATCGAATCTACGAACCGTTGATTATAGGACTT